CCTATAGGACACTTTAACTTTTACCAAAGTAATTTTTGGTAAGATACTTGTACTTTTCCTCAAGTATCACTTTGTGGTACTTTCTACAACGCTGCGTAATGTTAAATGTCACTTGGATTTAGTAAGAAAATCTGTTGTGCTAAATGCCGTAACATTAAAAGTAGGTTTCCTTTAAGGAATGCATATAACCCAGCATCTCACATGCCTTATATTTGAGTTTTATTTGAAATATTCAGCTTAAAAAAGACAWTTTGTAAACATCAACACCTGTTTATTCATATTCTTACTTGGTGCAGGTGCGCTTGTATTTGTTAAAACTGCTTCATTGTTAGTTTTATTGTTAGTTTTATAAGTTTAGCTTTTAGTTTGAGTAGTTGTAACTCTTCAGGTTAGCCTAACAGGATGTAGCTTCTTCAATTTTAGCTTAAAAATAGTTAGCTAGTTCGAACAAAACTCACCTCTTCGACCTCGTTATGTTGAAGACATTTCCCCRTTTTGTTATTCAAATTGTTTGTTTGCTCGGCCATAAGTTCAAAAWGAACAAAAAAGACCTGAAACTGGACTAAAATGACATGAAAGTGTCGATGGAAACTTTTCTTTCCCAACAGCTTCTGGATGTTTCTCCATCTCCAAGCAACAAGCAGCTGCGCGAGCCGGAAGTGTTGCCGAGGCAACCGGGTGTTGTTAGCAATTAGCTGCTAGCTAGATTTGGCTATTGTTATTTACCTTTTTTTTAATGTATTGAGTTATAGTAAAATGAAACGTTTGACCTTCTAAAGTATCTACACCGCTACACAAAGTTGGAATTATTTTATTTATACATTTTGTTTTAATAGTAAAAGCTTAAAGGGGTTAAAACAAACATTGATGCCTCAAAATGGAACTTAGCAAAACCCCTAAGGTTTGTAGGCAATGCTGCAGACGAGAAAGCTTTTTTCAAAACAGTTACAAAAATATAAAAATACTCCAAAAAATATGATGAATATGAAGTTTCTCCCCTCACAGATCAATAAACATAAATGTCAACAAAACATGGGCATCTGTTGTAAAAAAAATATTTTATTTATTTACATTTTGTTATTTTAAAAATAGCAAAAAATTAGTTAAAAGCAGCAAAAGGTTAGTTTAAAGTAGATAAATTGTAGCTAAATGTAGCAAAATGCTAAAAGTAGCAAAAGGCCGTCTAAACGTACAAAAAAGGTAGCTAGCTGAAAGTAACAAAAGCCTAGCTAGAAGCTAAAAGTAGCAAAAGACTACAAGCTGAAGGTAGCTACAAAATGAAAGTAACAAAAATCTAGCTAGAAGCTAAAAGTAGCTAAAGACCAGCTAAAAGTACAAAAAAGATAGTTAGCTGAAAGTAACAAAAGCCTAGCTAGAAGCTAAAAGTAGCAAAAGGCTGACTAAAAGCTAAATACAACAAAAGGTTAGTTAAATGCTAAATATATAGCAGAATAGCAGCTAAAATCTAAAAGTAGTAGGTTATGAGTTAAAAACAGCACAGATGCTGAAGCAAAATTACAAAGAGAAGTGTTTTTGAGCTTTTTTTAATTGCATCATATTTTTATGTGGAAAATGTTTGCTAATAAAGATAAACGTTTTTAAAGTTATTAAAAAAACTAAAGTGACAGCACAGATCTCCAGAAGGAGCTGAATATTTTAAGACACAAATGGCTGAAATAATAGTTACAAAGTATGCAGCAGCATTGCAGAGGTCTGGAAAAATAACCGACAGGAATACGTTTAGTTAACTTATAGCAGAATCAGCAGTCGCACAATTATGTTTTCATGCCCTTGAATATTTCAGCCAAAGATTTTCTAACTCCTGAGGGCTGGAGCAACATTTCCTCCGTCCAGCATTAACAGCAATTCTCCAAACCCATCCTTCACCACTCTGTCTAATGACTGAAACATATTCTGCAGGTTTTCTGTCTCACACACACACACACACACACACACACACACACAGAGCTCATCGGTGTTATTTTTGTACCACTTTGAGATTACGCGTTGACTGACCATCTCCATGGCTACCAGCATCCCTGCAGATGTATCGATGAGGGATAAATCTTTTCTTTTTCCTGCGGCGTTCAGAACGTGGTGTGCTGCCACTCTGGACATGTCACTTTCTTTGAGAGTTGTACATTTTATGGATAAAGCTAAATAACARCGGCTTTCATCTTCTCCTTTTTTTTTTACTTTCATCTTCGCCTGCAGTCACATCCCGACCCCCCTCCCACCCCTCAGACCCTCTGCCACTAACATCCAGGAATAACCAACATGTTTGCCTTTCATCTTCAGCCTACAGGAGGGTTACGAGTCATGTAACATGACATCATTAGCAGGTTCACGGGGCCGTGCCCCCACCATTTAAAATTCTAATAACTTTTTTCAATGCCATGTAGTCAAAAACGTTTGTGTTTTAAGAAATGAATTCATTCTTTTGAATACACAAAAATCAGTAAATGTGTACAAACATCATCAACTGCATTTATATTTAATTACCTTATTGGCAACATTTGACCTGAAATGTATCTGTCAGTGGTTTTTTTTTTTTTTTTTGTCTTCACGTCTAAATAATAAAATACGTCTAAATTTTCTATGTCCCCACACCATGTCACAAAGCGGTGCACCAGCTCTCTGTACTCCGCTTCCTGTCCATCTCTGATACACCCAACAACTGCAGAGTCATCTGAGTATTTCTGTAGATGACAGCAGTCTGACTTGTGCTGAAGTCTGAAGTGTACAGTGTGAACAGGAATGGTGAGAGTACAGTTCCCTGTGGTGCTCCTTGTGTCTGGACCAAGAGAGAGGTGGAGAGTGGGCAGGGAAGTGAGGATATTTGTTTGTTTGTTTGTTTGTTTTATCTAAGAGAAAGTTTGCATCAGTTTGAGAACCATCAGATGAGAACACAACAAATTTTTGGGAATGATATTTTTAATTTTCACGTTTCTTACAAAACCTAAAAATGTTTTAAAAAATTAACAAGAAAAAAAATGACTAAAATGTTAAAAAATGCTGAAATTGAATTGTCAGCATTTAAATAAGCACAACATAAGCTAAAATGATCAAAACAAAAAGTACAATTAACAAAACAGAAGATAAAATTGTGTAATTGTTGCTAAAAGCTGAAATCAGTAAAACAGCAATTAAAAGCTAAAATCARCAAAACATTAACAAAACCTAAAATGAACACAAAACTAGCTAGAAGCTCAGTATACTAAGGTTAGGTCAGTTGAATGTAATGAATTAGCATTTTTTTTACTTTAGCTAATTGTAGCTTAAATTTTTTTTAGCTAATTCTAGGTTTCGCCTACTGTTATGGTGCTTTTTAGGTTTAAGCTACTGTTTTGCTTGTTTTCATTTTTTTTAGCTACAGCTGAGCTAATTTTAAGTTTTATCAACTGTTTTGCAAAGTTTTAGTTTTACACTATCGTGCTTAGCTTTTAGCTACTTTTGAGCTCATTTTAGGTTTTAGCTTCACCTACTCTTTTGATAAATTTTAGCCTTTAGCTAYGGTTTTAAAAAYTGTAGCAACTGTTTTGCTAAGTTTTAGCTTTACCCTGCTCAGCTTTTAGCTTTTACCTACTATGTGCTCATTTTAGGGTTTTGGTTAATGTTGTAGATTCAGCTTTGTTTTGATATTTTTAGCCTTTAGCTACTATTTTGTTGATTTTGCTAATTTTAAGTTTTAGCAACTGTTTTGGTAAGTTTTAGCTCTACTGTGCTTAGCTTCTAGCTAATTTTGTGCTCATTTCAGGGTTTTAGCTAAAGTTCTGTTGGTTTTTAGTTTCTAACTTCTGTTTTACTAGCTTTAGCTTTTAGCAACAAATTGCTCTTTTTAGCGTTTGTTTTATGTTCTGCTTGTTTTAGTTTAAGCACTTTATATTCAGCATCTTCATTAGTCATTCAGCTAATTCAGTTTTCAAGCTGCACTTTCACAGAAAACATAAATTTATCCATTTATTTATTTTAAATTTTCCTTCAAAACAGTACAATATTCAGCGTATAAGCTAAAAAACTTCAAATATGAAACACTTTATAGCTTCTTATTATGTGTCCGCCTCTTTCTTTCCTTTGTCTACAGCCGCTGAATCAAACATTAAACATCAAAACTTTGAAACAATAAAAATGACACTAAAGAGTTTCTTTCCAGCTACAGCTGAACAGCTGGTTCCAGATGTCGGAGTAATTGTCGGCATCATGTTGTGCGTTTTGTTCCAGGGCACGCTGCGGCTCGTACAGCATTTACAGCCGACGTAATCACAGGTCGCTGCGAACACCTATTAGTTTGTCATGTCAAGGTTTAACAGCCTGACATCCACAAAACATTGAGTCAGATTCTGGCAGTGTGTGTGTGTGTGTGTGTGTGTGTGTGTGTGTGTGTGTGTGTGTGTGTGTGNGTGTGTGTGTGTGTGTGTGTGTGTGTGTGTGTGTGTGTGGACTCTCCGGCCTGTGACAGTGAAATCTCCACTCGCTGTTTCTCAGCAACAGAACCAGCGGTTTGCTCCTGCGGTTCATATCCACGGTAACGAGCTCCAAATGTTATATTTAGCAGGATTTGTGCTGATATGCATAAATATAATGATTCAGCAAGATTACTGCGCAAATAAAATTTCACTGAAGTGTTTTTCCGTCAGACGGAATGTTGTTTCCTGACCTCAGAAGTCAGATTGCTCTGATGCCAAATCACTCACACAAGGATTTTTTTTTTCTTCAAGCCTCCAGAGCTGTTACCACAAAAAAAAAAATAAATAAATAAAAAACGGAGCTTAAAAAATGTAAAATGTGTTCACCTTCAGCAGGAGAGCTGGTGAAAATACTCAGCAATGATCTGATTTGAGCAAATGTAGCTTATCAGATATAAATACAGACAAAATATCACCTTCACCGCTGACAAACAGTAACTGAGCTCTACCTGGTATTTCCAGTACAGAAACAGCGTTTTAACACGTCCTCTTATAAACACTGAAAAGAACTACGAGTACGACTGAGTAAATCTGAAATAAATAAAACAGAAATACTATTAAATTTAATATAAAATAAGAGAGTTTTACTCACTACTGAGTTGTGAATTTCGAACTCTTCGACTTTCCCACAGGGAATTCCCTTACGACTTGTAAGTGGAAAACTCCCACTTCCCAGTACAACTGGGCCGTAGCAAAAGTAACTGGTGAAAATGCAGCGAAATGCAGATTTTAAACTGCAAACTTTGCCGGTTACTGGCTACTTTTGAACCCTGTGCAGCTCCACCTACTGGTGGGAGGCCRTCATTTCACAGGTAAAATAATCAACATGCATTATGGGAGATGTAGTTTATGGTCAATGCCGGCTTTGAAGCATAATACGCCTATTTTAAAACAGTGATTTTCAAAATGGGGGCGGAGTATGACTGAATAAAATAAACAAAATGATGGGTTGAACACTGCAACCATCACTGACATGTTTTTTGATGAGGCAATGCTATCAGGGAGTTAATTTTGAACCCAATTTGCACAAAGAGGCCTTTTTATTTATTTATAAGTGTTTAAGACTGTCGCAGTAGGAAAAAACAGTTCACTTAAAATAACAACACAAAAAGTGGTTTGTTGTTTTGTTATTTAAAAGAAGTTGTAGTTTATTTTATTGGACACTAATTTATTTCATTTCAGTTTTATTAAATGTTTAAAATGTTCCGTAAAGGATGCAGTGTGAAATAAACTGCAATTGAGTTTAAAAACAAAATATTTGCGTCAGGTTGGAGATGTGAAAGCAGGAGGCCTGGCAGAAATAGTTTGGGAACGACTGTTTTAAGACAATAATACATCTCTGAAGCTCTCGCGGACCGCATAAAATGCTGTGGCAGACCACATTTGGCCCTCGGGCCTTGAGTTTGACACTTGTGCTGTACACTCTCTGAGTATGCATTGTGAATGACTCTCAGCTACCACCTCACCCCACTATCACCATGTTTGTGTTGGTTAAAGTTGAGTCAGGAATTTTGAATCAAGTAGACTTTAAAGTCTGACAATCAAAGTGGTTCTTTGGAAGGCAACTGGACTTTAAACAAATATTTAAATGTTGGTGATTTAATTAAGAACTCAGCTTTGTTTCAGCTGTAGCTTCACATGGAAGCTCTCCACTTACCCAAGAACAGAACTTTTTGCCCTTGTTAAGTCGTTTCCTTGTCCACATTGCGGTAGAAAAACCCACAACCCTTCTGCGAGCTGAGAGAAGCTGAGATTTAATCAGTCAGACCACAGAACCCTGGCACTGTGACCCAGTAATTGAATTAGTGCCTCGGCCCTGCTGGGTTTGTGTCCTCCTGTGTTTTCTTAGCTGGTGTTAGCTCCCGTCTCGGCCTTGTGGCCCTTCGCCCTGCGCCATATTGTGGAGTTCCTGGTGTTACGTTCCCTTCAGGCTCCAAAGCCACAGCTTCTTGTTTTGGCTGCAGCCCATCAGTGCAATCAGCTGGTCAGCACATATTAACCTCTTACTTTTACAAATCTCTTTATCCACTAATGGACCAGTTGAAACACGAGGACCTCAGAGCACAGCTGCTCCATCAGAACTGAGGGTAAGCAGGGAAAAATACTCCATCTTCACTCATCCAAGTATGAGGAGTAACATGATTGATTGATTGATTGATTGATTGAATGATTGACATTTGGCTGGTTAATTGATTAACTGATGGTGATTGATTGGTTAATTAGTTGATTGATGGATGGATGGATGGATGATTGGTTGGTTGGTTGGTTTGTTGGTTGGATGGCTGGATGGATGGATGGACAGACGGATGGACGGACAGACAGACGGACGGATGGATGGATGGTTGGTTGGTTGATTGGATGATTAGATGGATGGTTGATTGGTTAGTTGGATGGATGGATGGATGGATGTTGGTTGGTTGATTGGTGGTTGATTGGTTAGTTGGATGGATGGATGGATGGATGTTGGTTGGTTGATTGGATGTATGTATGTATGTACGTATGGATGGATGGATGGTTGGTTGGTTGATTGGATGATTGGATGGATGGTTGATTGGTTGGTTGGATGGATGGATGGATGGATGGATATATGGTTGGTTGGATGATTGGATGGGTGGATGGATGATGGATGGATGGATGGTTGGTTGATTGGATGGATGTATGGATGGATGGTTGGTTGGTTGGTTGGTTGGTTGGTTGGTTGGATGGATGGATGGTTGGTTGATTGGATGGATGGTTGGATGGATCCATCCATCACATCCTCAGAGTGCTAACAAGTATAAAAGATATTTAAAATCCAAATTTTTTATTTAAAACACTAAAATCAACAAAAGGCTAGAACTAAAATGTGGCAAAGCTAAAAGGTAAACATAGCTGAAGTATGCTGCAGCAAATTTCAATGTAACTTTTAGCTACTTAGCCACTTAGCATTGAAGTTACTGTTTTGTTGGCTTTAACTTTAAAATATTTTGTTATTTTAGCTTTCTGCTACTGTTTTGCCAGATTTAGCCTTTAGACTTACTAAATGTCACATTTATTTTTTCTTATTTTAGCTTTTTTTTTGACGATTGTTTAAACTTGTGGCAGTTTCAGCTGTTGTTCACTCTTAGTTTTTTAATTGTGTTTCCACAATTAAAAAAAAACTCATCATTGAACAGTTATGAGCTTTAAGTGTTTTATAAAAGCTTTTTCTCATGATGTCAGGCAGATAATTATAGAAAATAAAGTCTTAATTACGGCCCAGACTTGTGTTGGAGTTAATGTGAGGTTTTTCAGGTGTTGGACGTCCACCACTCTCTGCACTCTAATTGTTTTTCCAACCAGACGTTTTTATTCTGAATTCACTGAAGGTCCAGACGTTCCCAGAAACACATTCCTGCTCTTTCTGCTGACTCACAGTTTAGTTTCTGGGGAATGTTCTGCAGTTGTAGCCTTTTCCTTTTTTTTTTTTTTTTTTGTTATAAGGCTGGAAAACTCACACTCAAACTGTTAGCGAAGTAGCTCAGCAATCATTAGCTCTTACTGATTACCTTTGATGGAAGACGGTTGTTGCAGCCAACTGACCATAAAAAAACACAAAACCAAGCGTTAAGCTTCAAAAACAGCACAAAAACTCAGAATTTAAGAATATTTATTCACATATTTGCTGTAGTTTAAATACACAAACATTTGGATTTGAATGTGAGGCAGAAAATGATTTCTTTCTTGGTCTRGAGGAGAACTGTCCTAGACCTCCCAGCAGGGCCGGTAGACGCGCCCCACCATGCACCTCATGGTGTCCCTCCTCAGGATGGGGATGTTCGGCTGCTGCCCGGCGTCTCGGTGGTCCTCGGCTCTTCGCTTGTAGACGGACAGTCCGTTCTGCAGGACCCTCAGGTCCCTCCAAAGGCTGGGGTCCACGGCCACCACGATCTCCCTGGAAGCTCGGCCCTTGCTCACAGAGGTCAGGTCCGCGTCGGCCAGGCTGTTCTCCGCGGCCTCGTCGCTCAGCAGCGAGGTGAAGGCGTCCTGCTCCATGGATCCGTCTTCAATCTGGCCCACGGGCAACGCCACGGACAGAGCATTGTACTCCAGCAGGAGAGCTGCGGTGAAGATGAGCGACACCAGTGACCGCCTCATGGCTGAGATCTTCCAGGAGGTCTGGGTTCAACGAGAGAGATCTTCCTTCCTGAAGTCTTGATCTGCTGTCCCGACTCTGGATCTGCTGGTTTTATACCGTCTCAGAACTGAACACGTTGCAGAGTTCTCTTTGTTGGAATTAAAGGCGATGAGTTGGGGAGAACCCTCGCTGTGTTTGAGTGTGTTGTTTTCCCGTCACAGTTAATTAAAATCTTTCTTATCTTCGGCTCATGTTAGACACCTGACGATGAAAACCATTGGGTCTTTTGGTCAGGAAACAACAAGAGGAGATTAATCCAAAATGTCTGCCCTTTAAAACAACGAGGATGGAGGAGCCACCCATGGAGCTGTTGTTGGGAACACCACTTGATGGTGAAATCTGTTTTCTCAGGATTTTGTTCCACAGAAAGTCAAGATGGGATTAGATTTTCGGCTTATAGTGGAAAAAAGCAAACAAATGTGGAGATGTTCGTGGCGTTGTGGCAGCAGCACATCGCTGACGTGTCAGAGGGAGAGGTCATGTCTCAGCGTTTTCCTGATTTCATATTTTAGTAAATGTTTAGCTAGTTTAAGTTTGTTTTACTAGGCTTAGCTTTTAGCTATCATTTGGTTATATTTAAGCTTTTAATTAGCCTATTACTAATTGTATCTTTTCTAACCTTTTGTTACTTAAGTGACATTAGGCCAAGCATGTATCGTTCCCAATTCTTTTGTATATTGTTTGTAAATACGCTACCTAGTGGTCACTAAGAATCCACAGATACATCCATCCATCAAACATCCATCCATCCATCCATCATCCATACATCAATCCATCCATCCATCATCAATCCATCCATCCATCCAAACATCAATCCATCATCCATCCATCCATACGTCCAAACATCCATCCATCCATCCATCCAAACATCCATCCATCCATCCATCCATCCATCCATCCAAACATCAATCCATCATCCATCCATCCATACGTCCAAACATCCATCCATCCATCCATCCATCCATCCATCCAAACATCAATCCATCATCCATCCATCCATACATCCAAACATCCATCCATCCATCAATCCATCCATCCATCCATCCATCCATCCATCCATCAATCCATCCAAACATCCATCCATCCATCAATCATCCATCCATCATCCATCCATCCATCCAAACATCCATCCAAACATCCATCCATCCATCCATCCAAACATCCATCCATTCATCCATCTATCCATTCATCTATCCATCCATCCAAACATCCATCCATCTATCCAAACATCCATCCATCCATCCATCCATCCATCCATCATTCATCCAAATATCCATCCATCCATTCATTCATCCACACATCCATCCAT